ATCTTTCAAAAATAAAAATCAGAAAAAATCAAGCAAAAAAAAATATATATATATATTGGTAGCGATTTGTTTTTTTCTGGATGCGAGGTGTCCTGCTGAAGTGTGTGTGTGCTGTCATATTCGCTATACACTCTAAAAACGCACGACTGTGCCGAACAGACTGTTTCGACGGACTTTTACCGAACACGTCCGTGTGTGTTTGCTGGGGCGACCCCCCAATCAATCGATCAAGCAATCAACGGGAAAAAAAAAAAAAAAAACACGAATTGTCGCGCGTGCGTGTTGTCATATTCGCTATACAGGCATGAATCAATCAATCAACGCGTGCGTGCGTTCTCATATTCGCTAATCAATCATTGTCGCGCGTGCGTGTGTTGTCATGTTCGCTAATCAATCAATCAATCAACGGCCAAAAATGCATTACCGAGCCAGAGAGACTGTTTCGTGGGGACTTTCACCCACTGTGTGTGAGTGTGTGCCCGTCTGGGTGTGTGTCTGTGTGTGTGCGTCTCTCTGTGTGCGTCTGTGGGTGCGTCTGTGTGTGTGTGTTTGGGGGGGGGGGAGGCGACTGTGTGTTTGCCGGGGCAAGCGCCGAATCAATCAATCAATGGAAAAGAAAAGAAAAAAAACAGGCATTGTCGGGCGTGCGTGCGTGTGTGTGTGTGTGCCCGTCTGTGTGTCTGTATCTGTGTGTGTGCGTCTGTGTATGTTTGCAGGGGGGGAGGCGAGCGCCAAATCAATGAATCAGTCGATCGGAGAAAAAAAAAGAACACAGCGGCACACGTGTGTGTATGTGTGCGTGTTCGCGGGAGAGACGACCGCCCCCTTCACAAAGCAATCAATCAATCACTCAATCGAGGAAAAAAGAGAAAAAAGCGGGCAGCGCGAGAGAGACGCAGATTTAAAGCAAAAAGGCTAGTCCTTCGGGACATCCGTTAAAATTGGAACGATACAGAGAAGATTAGCATGGCCCCTGCGCAAGATGACACGCATAAAACAAAAAGGCTACATGATTTGCCACTGCACAGGGCGAATGGATGGAGCCGAGTACTCGACTTGACTTGATTGCAGATGCCGAGGCACAACTACTCAGTGTGCCACCGCGTTGTCCAGTTGGTTCGGTTCCAATCGCACAGTCTGCCTCCCGCGTTTTGGCACCTCTATCTGCTCAATTCCAAGTACCGATTTTTCAAATTGGCGGTACACATTTCGAAACTTTCCTTAGCGCCAGCCCACTTGGCAGAGATCCATACAGGAAGGGGGGACAGGGGAGAAGAGAGAGAGAGAGAGAGAGAGAGAGAGAGAGGTTCTCCTTGGCGATATAGAGAGATACAGACATGAGAGAGAGAGAGAGAGAGAGAGAGAGAGAGAGAGAGAGAGAGAGAGAGAGAGAGAGAGTTCTCCTTAGCATATAGTGAGATACAGACGAGAGAGAGAGAGAGAGATGTTCTCCTTAGCATATAGTGAGATACAGACGAGAGAGAGAGAGAGANAGAGAGAGAGAGAGAGAGAGAGTTCTCCTTAGCATATAGTGAGATACAGACGAGAGAGAGAGAGAGAGATGTTCTCCTTAGCATATAGTGAGATACAGACGAGAGAGAGAGAGAGAGAGATGTTCTCCTTAGCATATAGTGAGATATAGACGAGAGAGAGAGAGATCGATGTTCTCCTTAGCATATAGTGAGATACAGACGAGAGAGAGAGAGAGAGAGAGAGAGAGAGAGAGAAGAGGTGAAGAAAAGGGTAGAAGCGGGAAATGAGGAAACGGAGGTTTAGGTCTGAGAGGAATGTGGCGGCGAGAGGAAGAGGGGAAAATGCCTAAGGCCAGAGAGGAGGAAAAACGCACGGACGCGAATAAGCCAAGCTTAGTTGCTACACCCATGAACTGTTGAGTACAGACCCAAGTTCGAATCCAGACGCACTCAGATGACCAGAAAAATACAATTTTAAATTGCCTGGGGCCGATCAATTCAGTGATGATACCTCAGGCCCTCAGGGCCGTGACCCTTTTCAAGAAAAACAGAAAAAAACGCAAAAGGACGGGGGAAACGAGACAAAAGCACCAGGATATAAATGCGGTATGCGTGAGGAGAACAATAAATAAACACGCAATGAAAAGTCTGCAATCCATGAGGATCCCACACAGCTCGGCGGTCGTTGGCCACCTAAAATGGCTCTAGTACCCGAATGGAAATCCCCGTTTCGAACCCTCTTACAGTCCAGGAGCATGGCCCCACAAGCAACGGGGACTGGAGTAAGATTCTGAATCTCAGCGTGTTTCCCGCAGAGATGCAGAAAAGAAATTCAACCTCAATTTTCTGCACTTGTCCACAAACACGGCCAAATAATGGCGTTCAATCCAATGCTCTTTGCTAGTGGGACCTCGCCCCAGGATAGCAAGAATAATCGGGGAAGCACAGCGACTGGCCACTCAGATGATGCTCGGTCCCTCTGCCACCGCCTGTCCCCTGGCCGGTGTCCCCTGTTGGGGTTTCCCTGAAGGCAATCAAGGCCACCCTGGGCTGAAAAGGCCACCCGATGTCAGTCTAAACACAAGATTGAATTTACCTGGGCTGGTTAGTCCGATGATAATACCAAGGCCATCGCCCTTAATAAAAAAAAATTAAAAAAAAAAAAAAAGAGAATAAACATAGAAATATGGTGCAATGTCATACCCCTACCCTGTGGCCAGGCCCCACTAGCAGCGTTGAGCTACCTCAACGCCCGAAGGACGCTTTTGCGGATGTGCAGAAATGGTGTCGAGTTTCTTGAACTGCACGTCACCACAAACACGTCCAGATTCAGGCGTTGAGGTAGCTCAACGCTGCTAGTGGGACTCGGCCCCTGAAAGCGTAAGAAAAAAGAAAAAAAAAACAACAAACAAACAACGCAATGCCATACTAACGTCGCCCACCGAACACAACGCACTCTCATTGCGCACCTGCAGAGATCAGACAAGGAAAAGAAAATAATAGGCGCAAAAAAAAGGAAAAAGCACTCGTACTACCGTCGTCCTTCGAGCACAACGCACCCTGATTTTCGCTGCACCTGAAGCGATCACACAAGGAAAAGAAAAAGGCGAGGGTGCCATGCTCAGCCCGGATTGCTGTGGTGCAAATGTGAGGGACGCGGGACCCGTTTTCCAGTCAAATACGATGAGCACTCACTTCTTCATAAAAAAAAAAAAAAAAAGAAGCGGAAGGGGGAAAAAAAACGCAATGTTATAGAAATGTCGTCCCCCGTGGCGAGGTCCCACTAGCAAAGGGGATTGGATAAATATCCTGAATCCGGACGTGTTTTAAGCGGACAAGCAGAAAAGCAGTTCAATCTCGACATTCTGCACCTTTCCACAAACACGTCCAGATTCAGGTCTTCAATATTATCCTCTTTACTAGTGGGACCTCGCCCCCGAACAGGACGCACCGTCATTTCCGTTGCAGCCGAACAAAGCAGACAAGGAGAAGAAAATAACAGGCGCAGAAGAATTTCATCAGGAGCATTCATTCCATTCATGTAGATCCATAGGGATTCGAACTTAGGTCTGTTTTTTCCAACATTTTACGGGTGGACCAACTGCGCAGTTGCTTCCGTCACCCTTCTCTACCTCGGAAAGAGACGCTGAAGCCTTACCTGGTCTGTATGTGGCTTGGCTACTCCGCGTAGACTGAGGACCCCGGCCTCAAAGGATTATCAGTTTATAAGGGACGCTGGGCCCGATTCCCAGCATGTGTCCCTCCCCACAAATAGATCGAATTAAAAAAAAAAAAAAAAAAAAAAAAAAAAAAAAAAAAAAAAAAAAAAAANAAAAAAAAAAAAAAAAAAAAAAAAAAAAAAAAAAAAAAAAAAAAAAAAAGAGACGCGGAAAAGCCCAGACACGAATAAATAGGAAAGGAGTGTCGGAACACCAACGAATGCAAAGTGCAACCAGGAGAAACCACCCCAAAAACAAAGAACGAGGAACATAAAAAAAAAAAAAAAAGATCAGAGACGGAGGAAGACATGAGAGGCGCAGAACTCCAACGAAAGCATCAAAGTTAACAAAGAAAAGAAAAACAAACGCAATAAGTGCAACAAGGAGATATGGGATCAGAGACGAAGGAAGACATGAGATCAGAGACGAAGGAAGACATGAGAGGCGCACAACTAGAAAAATCAACCCTCTACCTCAAATAAGGAGGAGATCTGAGGCGCAGGGAGAGATCGGAGGCGCAGGCATAGATCGGAGGCGCAGGAGGGGATCGGAGGCACAGAAGCGATCAGTCAGAGCGATCAGTCAGGGGGAATAATAAGAAATCAGTTGTAGAGCACCAAGGCATGCCATCAGAGTTCCAAGTGAAAAGAACAAACAAAAGAGTGCAAGGAGGATAACGTCGACGAAAGAATGTGATTTCCTATTTCTTCAGAATGTCGACGACAGATACTAATGAGGGAAGAGAGCAAAGAAAACACAACTAATTTCCGGTCTCAGAGCACATCCAAGAGGTCTTAACGACGGGATAGATATAAAAAAAAGAAGCAGAGCAACTTGCCGATTTCATAACATACAGACAGAGACTATTCACAAGCAAAGACAATAGAATGACAGAGACAGCGAGAGGAGAAGCCTTCCAGCGAAGAAGGCGCTACGCAAAACATTGATGACGGGAGTATGACAAGAAAGAGATGAAAGGGAACAGAGAGCAAGCAAACATTCTTTAAAACACACATCCAAGATGCCTTAACGACAGGATAGATATAAAAAAAAAGCAGAGCAACTTGCCGATTTCAGAACATACAAGGGAGGTATTAACAAGCAAAAAGACGATACAATGACAGAGACTATTAACAATCAAACACAATAGAATGACAGAGACAGCGAGAGGAGAAGCCTTCCAGCGAAGAAGGCGCTACGGAAAACAGTGATGACGAAGAATAACAAGAAAGAGATGAAACGGAACAGAGAGCAAGCGAACATTTTTTGAAACACTACCAAAACGACTGCGAGCCTGCAAAACGATTCAGTCAGTCCGACCATAGCCGCGAGCAAATAAAAACGAAAACAACAAGGATAAACAAAAAAACAAAAAAAAAACAAAAAAGAGGTGCTCTCGGAATGAATCTCTTCCCACTCGATCAGCGCAATGAAATGAACTTCCGCAGGTCAATCAACGCCATGGGGGCCAAAAAAAAGCCATGACCGACCCTGATGCCAACGTACTACTCAACCTAAGCAGAGCACCTGCCATTTACCATCACGATAGCAAAGAAAAGATAAACAGCTATGTCCTCATTAAGGTCAAGGAGCTAGCGGCTGCCAACAATATACGATGACGAACGTCTATGTGAAAATGAGGAGCTAGAGCGTCCCGATAAGTATCTCTCTGGGTATAAAAAAAAAAATAATAATAATAATAAGTATCTCTCTGGAAAATGGAGCTAGCGGCTCCTTACAAGAGACAAATAGTCCGTTAGGCGAAGGATCTACCACCGACTACCGCATACGGATTATTAACACCGGTGTTCAATAATGAACAACACTCGCCGAGATAATAAAACTAATTACGGTGGAAATTACAAGATTCGGAATGCAAAATATGATAATAATGGTGGTGAAGTTCAGAAAAAAAAATAGAAGATTCGGACGGATACCCAAAACAGAGAACTATTTTCTAGAAAATACAGAATAAAACTACAACTTAGTAAAAATACTACGTTGAAGTCAGCATCGGCGAAACCGGGAATGATAATAAAGAAAGGAAAGCGTTGGCAAGAGAGTACGACGGCGGGAATGTGTCCCATAGATATAGAGAATTGACAGTGGCGATGATGCGCTGAGGAAGTGATCGTTGGTGCTAAGTGGGGCTGTGGATCACCCGGCACGACAGCGTGGAGAGATCGCCAACGAGACACAGAGAGAGAGAGGAGAGAGAATAGGACGGAAGTGAGTCAGACAATTATAGAGAGACGACGTCCTAGGAACAGTGAATGACCAGACACGGCATAGAGATCACCAACGAGACAGAAAGAGAGAGAGGACGCTGAAAGAGATGGCGAAGCAAAGAAGACGCTTGAGCAGATAAATTAATGGAATAATGCGGTGTACACACGATGTCAATAAGAACAAGAGAGACAAAGATCAAATCATAAAAAGACAGACGGAGAGAGTCAGACGATAAAGAGAAGACGCCGCTCAGGGGTAATACAACTATGGTTTCAGCAGCGCGATGTATACGATCTAATGAGAGAAAGATGGGACTGTAGGCGGGAGATGGTGCGGACTAGCAGACTCCCTGCGACCTTGAGGACGCCGCCTTCTCCCTCAATCGTCGCAGAAACTCGTGTCCAATTCTTGCTACCTTATCCCCAGTGGGGAGAGGTTTGATTGGAACGAGCGGAGCCGATTTAGCAGCACGATTCTTGAGGTAATCAATGGTGCGGATGATGTCGCGCACAAGTCGATCAGCCAGGGTTCTGCTGAAGTCCTCTCGCACCACAGCACGGAGGAGCGTCACGTGCTCAGCGTCCGGCGCCATCGTGTACGCTGGCAGAATCCATCCGAATCTCTTCAGATTGTCCGCCAAATCATACTCGTCAAAGTGGCGTCTGTCCTTGAGCGAGAACGCGAGAAGAGGAACACCCTCTCTCTTCGACAGAATGTTGAAATACCCCGTCGCCTCGACGGAATCGCGCAGGTACAAGGCATTCTCTCTGCAGTTTTGCATCACGCGCTTGTATCCGTTATGACCGAGGCGRATGAACTGATAATACTGCGCAATGAGATGGCTGGCGCCCTTGGAGAAGTTGAGAGTGAAAGTCGGCTGATCGGTGCCAAGGTAATTGACATGGAAGATGAGCTCCTCGGGCAGATCCTCCTTGCTCCTCCACACAACCCACCCTACACCAGCGTACACGAGCCCGTACTTGTGCCCGCTGAGGTTGATGCTCTTCACGAGAGGCAGACGGAAATCCCACTCCAGGTCCGGGTAAATGAACGGGGCGATGAAACCGCCGCTGGCGCCGTCCACGTGGATGGGCGTGTCCCATCCGGTCTGCGCGTTCTTCTCCACCAAGAGATCGTTCAGCAACTTGATGTCCTCGAACTCGCCGTTGTACGTGCTGCCGAGAATGCCGGCCACGCAGATGGTGTTCTCATCGACCAGCTCCACGGCCTTCACCGGGTCCATGATGTAATAGCCTTCTCTCAGCTTCACCTCCCTCAGCTCCACCTCAAAGTAGCGCGCGAACTTCTCCCAGCACACTTGCACGTTCGCCCCCGTCACGAGGTTGGGCTTGTCGTACGGCAGTCCCTGTTCCTTGCGCTTGTTCTGCCACTTCCTCTTGAACGCCAACCCGGCGAGCATAATCGCCTCCGAGGACCCGATGCACCCAGCGCCAACGGCGGGCTCGCCGTCCTTGATGGGAGCGTTAACAAGGCGGGCGATCATGTTCACACAGCGGTCTTGCAACTCCGTCGAGATAGGATACGTGTCCATGTCAATGTAGTTCTTGTTGATAGCCTCCAGAATCAGCTTGTCGCATTCGGGCTCCATCCACGTGGTCACGAACGAGGCCAGATTCAGCCGAGGATTTCCATCCAAAAGCAGCTCATCGTGAATCACTTGATAGGCAACGTCCTTAGGCGTCTCGGAGTCCGGCATACGGAACTTGGGAAGCCCAACCTGCACATAGCGAGAGGCAAACACAGTGTCCACATCCTCCCGCTGCCCCTCCCTCTTCGCATCGCCCACAGCAGACAACATTGTCGCTCTCTTCTCTCTTTCTCTCTCTCTCTCTCTCTCTCTGGAGGACGAGGAGAACAAGAAGCTACGCTGAAGCGCAGAGGAGAGAGAAAGAACGAGAAAAATTCCCTTCTCCGCCGGATACCACCGGAAGAAGGAAGAGCCTGACAGCAACACGAAAGGACGAATCGATGGTGATGGGATGGGTACACCCTAGCACATGGATAGTCGCTAATAAAGAGGCCGTGCAGGAGCGGTTGCGGCGATGGGGGACAAGGTCTGCCGCCCCTTCACACACACCACCCTGCCCGTCGGTATACAACGACGTGAACTTTCTTTCCTCGAGTGTGAAACGGAATACAGAAAGTCGCAAGAAGGGGCATGTATTATCCCGTCGAACGTGGAAAGATGCAATAGCCAGTATTAGCCACTGGCTTCGTTCTTTCCACATTCCCGCGCTCTGAGCTTGACCAAACGCGTTATTTTCCCCATTTGCGCGCGGAGTCCCAGTCGCAAAGAGGATTGCCCGAATCTGAGCAGGATTGGGGGCCGGGTGCAGAAAATCGTGATTGATCTGCTTCTTTGCACATATCAACAAACACGTCTACATTCCCGCGTTACATCCAATCCTCTCTGCTAGTGGGGTGAGGCACACTCACTTTTTTTCTTTTTTCTTTTTTTTGTTTTGGCACACTCACTTTTCGACCCACCTCTGGAATTAATTACGGTCAGATAAACCCACAGCGAGCTTCGGCGGTGTACATTACGTCCAAAAAAGTCCAGATCCTGTCCTTCGGGGACATCCGTGAAAAATTGGAAGGATACAGAGAAGATTAGCATGGCCCCTGCGCAAGGATGACACGCATAAATCGAGAAATGGTCCAAATTAAAAAAAAAAAAAAAAAAGTAAAAAAAAAAAAAAAAAAATCCAGATCCAGCGCGGTGAAGGGAACGGTTATGATCTCATGCTGAAAGCCGCCTCCGCTCCTTTTGTCGTATCCAGGTCCCACTTCCACGCGTTTTTCAGTCCGTGACGTACACACCCGCCGCAGTTTTTTTTTTTTTTTTTTTTCTTTTGCCGCAGGTGGACTTCGTCTATCGTCTTGCACATTTCGAGAGTAGTGGAGCGACGACAAAGGGCCTCTCTGACATGACTGTGGACGTGCAGAAGCAAAAAAAAAAAGCAAAAAAAGTGGAGGTTAGAAAAATAAATAAATTAAAAAAAAAAAGAAATAAAAATAAAAATAAAACAAAATAGTGGAGGTGTATGTGTCCATATTATATATAATCCAGCGGCCTACCTCAGTGGGTAAGGCACGCAAAGTGGCATTCAGAAGGTCTTGGGTTCAATCCCCATTGGCCTCATGCACCTTCCTGAACAAGCTTGGCGCCCGCCACCTAGAGATATGCCGTTGGTCCCCCCGAGTGGCATTGAGCAGAGACTGCTGATGTTCATAGGGGAAGGGGACCGGAGGGGAGGCACAGTGACTGGCCCATCGAAGAAGCTCGGTCCTGATGCTACGGGCTGACCCCTGGCCGGTATCGCCCACCTGCTGTAGCAGGTATCGCACCTGCTGCTGGTGGGTGCAGCTCCCCCATGTTCCCTCGTTGGAGGCTTGAGCACGGATGTGGCTGCTACGGGGTTCCCGTAATACTATAATGACAATAAAAAAGGCCTGAAAGGCCGTCCTGTCCAGATTTGACAGGTAATTGAATTGGTTGGCCTTTCAAAAAAGAAAAAAAAAGAAGAAAAAAAAAAGTCCATATTATACACTAATATTCACGCTCGTCTTGCAAAGATATGAGAGCAGCCGACCGAGATTATTCAGGCGGCAAACACAAATGCAGAAGCGAAGAAGGACTTCGTACTTCGTACCTCCCGAGGTGTTCCAGCACATAGCGAGGTGTTCCAGCACATGCGGCAACATTTGACAGAGAGAAAATCAACCTGCATCAACAAAGACTGCACATGAAAGCGGATTGGAAAGGCTGTTCTGGACGCAATGGAAAAGGTCGATTTTGGTTTTTAAAAACCTGGGCAAAGGATGCTAGACTGATTAGCTAACGGCGGGGTAAGCGGACTTACGGTATTTGGCCTGAAGTTGTGTCTCAGAAGTGGTTCATCAGAATAAACAGGATTGGCAAATGAGTAGTAGTGGCCGAAGGATGGGAATAGACACAGCTTACTCCTCGGTCATCTTTTTCGAGCTTCAACGTCGGAGTTTTGAGAAGTAGTTTTTCTATAAGATTGAGTGGCCTTGGGACGCTGGACCCGGTTTCTCCGGGTTGAATTGTGAGGTCCCCGGCCTTGACCACTGTTTTTCCCTAATACTCTAAAGCAAAACACGGGTCTCGTGTGATGGTCCCGCGAGAACCCGCTTCCACTGTTGGGATCTGGCATGACAGTCCCGCGAGAACCCCCTTCCACTGTAGGGAAATGTGGTGGGACAGGCAGCGGTGGGCCCAATGAATTGGCGCGGTGGTCGGGATTGGCGGGCGGGCAGGTTAGGCGGCCTGACAGGCAGCAGTGGGCCCAATGAATTGCCGCGGCGGTCGGGATTATGTGACGAACCACTTCACGAACCCGAGCTATCTTTCGTACCCTTTCTTTTGCCTATATCCTACCAAACCCCAGGAAAAACCCTGTTTTGATTTCTTGCTTTCGGGTGCTGCATTTTCCTTTTTTTTCGAGACCTTTTTCGACTGCTGAGCTCTGTTTTCCTTTTGCAAAGTCAGGAAATACATGGGAAATTGTGCGCGCCTTAGCGAGCGCGCTGGGAATTGGGCTCGGTAGTTGGAAACTCTGGGATAAGCGGAACGTCGACGTGTCCTTTTCGGGTGTGTAAATGTTCTTGGGCGCATCGGGGAAAACTTTCAGAATTTCGACCAGACACGAATAGGCGTAGGATTTTCTCTTCCTGCGTCGCTTTTTCGCGCGCGGATATGGTGATTTCAATTTTGAATTAGGAGCCAACTGTAACTGTTTCGGTGCCTTTTTTTGTTGTTGTTGTTGACGGCGCCATGCATGCAAAAGCCTCCTCCTCTCTGTCCCCCGCATCGTCCCCTCCCGCGCTCCCTTTCCTTCTCCCTCCTCTTTCTCTCTCCCTCTCTCTCTCCTGCCTTGCTTTCGCGCGCCCATTTCCTTTTCTTGATCATCTGAATCTTGGACCCGTCTTGCGCCACCTCTCGCGCCTTTTCTCTTCTCACCCTCTAAGTCTGGCGCACGACGCCCGGTCGATCCCCCAATAACTCCCGCTCGCCAATCTGGTGCGTGGATCGATAGGACCTTCCTATCGCGCGACGAATCTGATTGGTTGAACCTTGAATTCCGAAGGATCAGCATGGCGTTCGTAGAGCACTCTTCTCAAAGTCTTCTCCTCCTGCTTCTCCACTTACAGCTCATCTTTCCTGTCGCCTTCTCCCCCTTCTATCTCTCCTGTTGCAACTATAAAACCCGCAAGCGCGTCCGCAAATCTCTCTTACGTTCTCGACTCTAAGCCAGCTTCCAGGAAGCAGTGGCTAGGCAGAGTGTGTTATGAGTCGGAAAGTCGTGTCGGGTTGACGATAGGCTGGCCGGTTGCGCGCTTGATCGCCACGACGGACTGTGGGATCCGGGCGAACCATGTCGGGCTTACGACAGCAGGGTAGCATGCGACGACGGGATCGTCGGTGCGGGTATGAGGTTCGATGATTGGAGTTGAGTGAGTGATTGGCCCGGGGCCATATTGGAATTAACGGCAAATGCGCCTTTTTTGTTGTGGATCTTTACCTTTGACGTGAGTGCATGGTGGTCATGTCGAATGTGTCTCTCCCAGATTTGGTCATCACCTACCTCGACTCTCTCTCTCTATCTCTATCTCTATCTCTCTCTCTCCCCCCCTCTCTTTTCTCTACCTTTGAATGGTGATGTGTCTCGATTGATTATCTCTCGCTTTCTCTCCAAAGTAGGAGCAAATCGGGCGCTCCCCTTGCGTAAAAGAACTTCTTCCGGAACTCTTCCAAGGACCCCGCCTTCTTGTCTTGTGAACCGTGGATGCGTGTGTGCTGTGCAATGCGATCTATCTTTTCCGGTGCATGTCTCATTTTCTCACCTTCCACAGTGAATGCATGAATGAAATATGTGACTCTTTTTTATTAGACGATTATCGTCGGGATTTTGTTCGAGAATGCAAGAGTGTTTAGATATGTAGCTCTGTTTGCACTGCGCAGGTCATCTGCCTTATGCTGCACGACATCAGCAGCTGAGCCACGAGGCGGCCCTGAGAAACAGGGCACCCAGGGACCTACGTTGTGTTGAATTGATTAGACCCGTAGCCATATGCGTGATCAAGCTAATCTGTGTCTGCTCTCTCTCTCTCGTGACAAAAAGATTGATTGGGGGACGCGCGAATTGCTTTTGTTCTTAATGACGTCTCATGATATTTTATGATTGATTGACATGTGGACTGACAAGTACCCTTCGATTGGGCGTCAGCCTCTCTACCTTCCATCCCAACGCGACCTTTTCCTTACAGTGAGGAAAAAACACGTGTATATGAGTGGGACGTACGAGAAGCCGTTGCACAAATCGGCGGGCAATATTACATTCCTCTGGCCAACCGTTGTTCTGGGTTTGTAGAAGCCGGGTTTTTTATTATCGATACGCACTTCCCACCTTACTCGGTATTGTTGTCATTTAATGAGTTAATTGTCATTCCGTGGACGACAGTAGAACCCCACTAGCCGCGCACTTTGTGCACCGAATGTCAGCGTTTTGAGCGCTACGAGTCCAGGGGTTTTCACTACCGTGTGCGGAGCGAAGACGAGCATAAAGAAAGAGCCACGCGGCTGAGACCCTCCACGTCAGACTCAGAACTAACCAGCGAACGACGACGAGATTTGATATGAAAACGGGACACGCGAAGCGTTCCCCAGCCCTTCTGTTATAAATGACGGGCAGTAACCCGGTAGGAGGCACGCCCATACTTTTTGGATTGAATTTGGATCTTTCCCTCTCTTCCCGCTTTACCTCGCGCATTTTGCGACGCGCGAAAACGATCGACTTGCTCCATCGGACCAACACGGGGGATTTCAGTTTCGTCTATGTCCCCACAATCAATTTCTAAAAATCCGTGGCACACCCCATCTTGCTATTTTTTTGGGCCTCTTTTTCGCACAGCTAACACTCCGAACGGAGACAGCACCGGGCGTGAGGTTGGTATCGGAGC